GATACTTTATTCAGCAGTTCATTCGTTTAGAGAATATTCATGCTCTCATTCTGAATCTGGCCTTACAAGGTTTTGTGCTCATGTGATAAGGTATATATGGGGGAGACCTGCCGACCCATTCACAAGAGAATATGCGAACACAAACCCGCCAGTAGAGGTTTGCGGGTCCAAATATCTGAGCTCGCTGAACACAAGATCAAAACAAGACACTTAATCGGCTGGTCTAATACACAATGTTTTGAGGATAACGGGGACTGCAGGTTAAAACGTAAGATTAGGGAGTCTATAGAAATTAGCAAAACAGCCAGCATCCTGAATAAGAGGAACGAGTGTAGAAAACTAAGTAAGGTCTTTTTGTGGCTGTTGGATAGACTTAAAGAAAGGAAGATAGAGGAGGTGCAGGAAGAGCCAGTGAGCAAGAGAAAGAGGCAGGGTTAGCCTCGTGTTTAGCTTGGACTATCATACTACCCATGACATGAGCATTACATACACACAATGGATAATAACGCAAGCCCAACCATGATTTAGCATTAGGCGATCGTACTCTAGTTTTTTGTGATCAAACAGCTACTTCTGAACGTTCGGGAAGTTAACTTAATTCATTTACAAGCATGTAGATTAAGGTTGAAGTAGCCGGTCAAATCATAGAAGGCCTCAATAAGATCGCCATGTTATGTGTATAAAAAGCGACTAGGGTTGCAGCTGGCTACCTTTTCTCTTGCTTTAGTATATTTTTGCTCTATTTAGTAAAGTATGGGTTCTTGCTCTGATGCTGTCTGTCACAGTACAGAAGAAGGCTTAGCACAATTTCATCGGAGTCGCAGAAGGGTGAGGCGAGGACTTCTTCGCACAATTCAACAATCTTCCTTACACAACAATCCTCCTTCGTTTTCCAGCAAGACCACATCACGAATTCTTTCCAACCAACTTTCCCTTCAGAATGTAAGGTAATGCCATAATATAAACTACCATAAATATCGGTATTAGTATGGCTCATATGGTAATTCATTTAATTGTATAAATAAATCATCTGTTTACAAAAATGTTTAAATTCAGACAGTAAAATTGCTTGGATCAAATACTAATGGGTATTCTGCATTTTGCTCTTTATTATTAGTTTAAATTATTTTAGGCTCATAATTTAGTCTATTTTTTGACGGATTTAAATAAACAAAAATCTAGGGCAAAGTAGTCTAAAAAATATATTTATATGAAAAGGCATTCGGATAATATATGCGAAGAAAAGTTGTGTTTCGAGAAATTTCTCCTTTCATAATTGTTGAGCTTGCTTCCATTTCGAGTGAAATGGTTTAGTGAAGTCATTCTAAGGTCGATCCTGGCCAGCAGTCGATTGACTTCCCTGGAACATTCTTGTTTACGCCGAGTCCGAGGTAATCTCCTTTGATTCCTGCAAAAGCGTGCTAAACTTTCGTCCGTCATATGACAAGCATCATCAGAGCAAGGTATCATCCTTACAACCAAATTCAAGCTAACGAGTCAATAAAATTCGCTGCCTTATCCCTAAAAAGTTGTATATATATACTATATATCTGACCACTTTGATAAGTTGTCAAGTGATTTGGTTAGTTTCAGTCATATGTTAACCTCGGAGCATGTAAGTGTGTCTATCTTTGTATGATTATGTGCCTGCGGACCATACGAAATCAGCAATGATGACTCAAAGTAATTGGGGCA